GATTGCAGGCTGAAGGGGAACATGCAATCTTTTGTCCGCAGACCTCGGACCACAATACCAGCATGGACTTTGCAGACCTCCCAGCTCTCTTTGGTTCTGCCTTGAGCCAGGAGGGACTTCAGGTAATTTTCTTTTCTCTTTTCTGTTTCCTTAAACCTCCCATCCAGGATAGGGATTGAGGAGCCATACATACCCTTGGATGAAGCTAGAGGTAGGAAGAGTTGAGTGAGAAAGTGCATTAGCACATCTAGCGTGGAATCCAGAATCTAGAGGGAGAAGACCAAGCCTACCCTAAGAAATCTGAACCCTGTGAGGGAGACTGAAAGTGGATCAAGATAAAAGGCAGGGAGAAGTGGTGTTTACAGTAGAATCTCTGGGGTCAGTTATTGGTTTATATGATCATGGACAAGTTGATCTCTCTGAGCCTCAGTTTTACTTTACCATGTGATAATAATAGATGTTATCTCACAGGGCTATTGTGAGGATTAAATTAGATAAAGAAATTTTGTAGTACTTAATCACAAAGATGCCCACACAGCAAAAATTGGGCCATAGATATCAGTGTAATTGTTTGTAAGATGGGTAATTGGAAAATTAAAGAGAGGTGTTAAAAAACAAAATTCTAGCCTGGCAGGTGTGGCTCAGTGGTTAAGCCTTGACCCATGCAGAGAGATCACAGGTTCCATTCCAAGTCAGAGCACATGCCGGTTGTGGGCTCCATCCCCCGGTCAAGGCTGTGCAGGAGGCAGCCAATCAATGATGTTTCTCATTAATATTTCTGTCTCTCCCTCTCCCTTCCTCTCTCTCTAAAATCAATAAAAACACATTCTAAAAAACACACAGAATTCTACCGAGTAAATTTTAAAGACCTTCCTGGCTTTATCCAATGATTTATGAATTGGGCAATAACCCATGTAGCAAATAGAAAGTAACTCCAAAGAATTGTACATATTGAAAGACTTTTAAGGCAGAAGGGAGCAGGACAAGGGAGTTACATTAGCAAAGAGCTGGTTGTTTTTGGCAAGGTCACCTTTCGGTAATGGCAGGGGGTCTATCAGGCAGATTACTTCACTAGTGCTGACCAGGTAATTCCAGAATGGCTTATGATTCCATTCCTGGGAGTGGCTGAAACTGTAATTAAGTTCGGTATTAAGTCTCAGTTTGGTGACATGGGGCTTAGCACAAGTGACTCCATTTTTTAAATTGATGTTAGAGAGGAAGGGAGAGAAACATCAATCACTGCCCTCCCATACACACCAGGGATTGAGCCTGAAACCTAGTATGTGCCCTGACTGGGAATGGAACCTGTGACCTTTTTTGTGTATGGGATGACACTCCAACCAACAGGTCAGGGCCCTGTTGCCTCTTTTTTATTTATATTTTGTGTGTGTTGCCGCTTCTTTTTAACAGAGAGGAGTATGTTCTGTATGAGTATGTACTGGAGAGGGGAGTGTGAAATGGAACTTGAGAGAAAGTGACATGGATAAGTGGAGAGTTGATGTACAATCAGTGGGAAACTGGAATGCAGAATTTGAATTAGAGAATTGGAGTATGGGGTATAGGTTAGCTCATCTGGGACATGGAGAGGGATAAAGGGATGGTCTGGTAAAAGGATGTTGTTTGATATATTTTCATATTCAAGAAGCTGAGAAGAGGTAGATTTCTGACTTAGGTGGAATGCTCAGACCCCAGGAATGAGAAGGAAGTAGATAGAGAACATGTATGTGGGGGCCAGTGTGCTTGGTGGGCCCTATGGAGAGCAGAACCTAGGGAGGTGAAATCCAACTGTTTACTTCTCTTCTCCAGGGCTTTCTTGTGGAGGCTCACCCAGCCAATGCCTGCAGCCCCATTGCCCCACCACCCCCAGCCCCGGTCAACGGGTCAGTCTTTATTGCACTGCTTCGAAGATTCGACTGCAACTTTGACCTCAAGGTTGCTGAATATGGAGTGGGAGCTGGGAATCTGAGGGTAAAAAAATGCACCAGGAATGAAGGGAGATAAGACCCATAATGGCTCCTTATCCTGTCTTGTCTCCATAGGTCCTGAATGCTCAGAAAGCTGGGTATGGTGCAGCCGTGGTACACAATGTGAATTCCAATGAACTTCTGAACATGGTGTGGAATAGTGGTAAGGTTGGACCTGAAGGGCTGGGTTTTCAGTAGAGCTCAGACTTAAGAGATGGTGGATGGGCTAGAGCAGTGGTCAGCAAACTGCAGCTCGCAAGCTACACACGGCTCTTTGGCCCCTTGAGTGTGGCTCTTCCACAAAATACCGACTTCTGTGCATGGGCCACGAAGTTTCAATCACACTGTATGTGCGCACCCACACGTATTTTGTGCGGGCCGACCACTGGGCTAGAGAATTAGGGGAAAGAAGTCAATCTTTGGGTGGGATGGCACAAAAGAACCAAATGCTAGGATTACCAAAGCATTTGAGTAGAGGGTTGAGTCCTCAGTGTAATGAATGCCCTGATCCCTGCAGAGGAAATCCAGCAACAGATCTGGATCCCGTCTGTGTTTATTGGGGAGAGGAGCTCCGAGTACCTGCGTGCCCTCTTTGTCTACGAGAAGGGGTAGGATGTGTCCCTCTTTCCCACTCTTTCTTTAGCACTTTCATGCCAATCTGGAGCCCAAGCCTCAGGCCCTTCTGTCTCTTGACTTTCCACCCCTTTTCCATCCATGGGCCTTATCCAGAGTCCGTTACTTTTTCTCTTCCTTTGTCACTTTGCTTTTCCTGCCCCTCTGATACTGATCTTCCTTTTCCCAGGGCTCGGGTGCTTCTGGTCCCGGACAGTACTTTCCCATTGGGTTATTACCTCATCCCTTTCACAGGGATTGTGGGACTGCTGGTTTTGGCCATGGGAGCAGTGATGGTGAGTAGCTCAGGGAGCATGATGGGGAGAGCTGGGGCCTTTAAAACCAGACTGGCTCTGGGGTTTAGTAATGGGGATGCTTTGTACTGGATTGTCCAGTTTTGTTCCCTAAGGCTGATCTGATCCATCCACTTCCTTTCCCCAGATAGTTCGTTGTATCCAGCACCGGAAACGGCTCCAGCGGAACCGACTGACGAAAGAGCAACTTAAACAGATTCCGACACATGACTATCAGAAGGGTGAGGGGGATAGGGGAGCAGAAGGCCTTCCCCATAGTGTGTGGTTCTGAAGGAGTTTGAGCCCAGGAGATAAGGGACAAAGAAAGATGGCAGGGAGATGTCAGCCTGAGATGCCACCTTTCCTCTTTTAGAGAGGGAGATGGATAGAGATAGAAACATCGGTTTGAGAAACATAGATTGGCTGCCTCCTGCACCCCCCTACTGGGGATCAAACCCACAACCTGGGCATGTGTCCTGAACAGAAATCCAACCAGTGACCTCTTGGTTCATGGGTTGACAACTCACCTGAGCCACACCAGCCAGGCACCTTTCCTCTTTTTACCCACACATATAATGAAGACAGGATAGGAACAGAGCAGATGAGAAGTAAAGATGACTAATGGAGTAGTTGGGGGGAAAAGATGAGGACCAACCTTGATTATAAGAGAGAACATAAATGAAGGAGTGGGCAGGATTTACTCTGAGAACAGGTGAGGAGGGGCTAGGTCTTTCGGCCCAGGAGTCTCCATGCCCAAATAAGGCAATAGTAGAAGCCCTACCCTCATCTCCACCCCTCCCACTGCGGTTATCTCCACCCACACCCCTCCCCAGATAAAACCCACTTCCCTTCTTACCTCTGCTTTTCTTTGTCCCTTCTAAACCTCAGTTCCTTGTGTTCTACCTTGGCTTTATCCTGCAAGTCCCAGTCTTAGCTATTCCACTGGCTTTGTAGAACCAGGGAAAATAACTTGCAAGGGTTAGCTACCTACAGGCTTCCCAGAGTGAGTGCTTAGGGGCCCTGGTCCAAAGTGCCTGAATAAAAGGACTCCTTTTTTCCGCCCCCAGGAGACCAGTACGATGTCTGTGCCATCTGCCTGGATGAGTATGTGGATGGTGACAAGCTGAGGGTACTCCCCTGTGCACATGGTGAGGCCCTCAGTTTCAGTGCCCATGTCCCACTCTACCAGCAGGCATGTTGTTTCACTTCATTCCTCTCGGCAGCCTATCACAGCCGCTGTGTGGACCCCTGGCTCACTCAGACCCGGAAGACCTGCCCCATTTGCAAGCAGCCTGTCCATCGAGGTCCTGGGGATGAGGAGCAGGAGGAAGAAACTCAGGGACAAGATGGTGATGAGGAAGGGGAACCAAGGGACCATCCTGCCTCAGAGCGGACCCCACTTCTGGGCTCTAGCCCTACAACGCCCACCTCTTTTGGCTCCCTAGCCCCAGCCCCACTTGTTTTTCCTGAGTCTTCAATAGATCCCGTACCCTCTCCTCCCTTACCCTCCTCAGCTGCCATCCTAGTCTAATAACCCTTGTCACCCCCACCCTGATTACCTATTTTGCACAGCCTTTCTCTAGCCTTCTATGTTGAAGAATAGGGGATATTTCTACCCTGGGTTTCTCCCTTACCCAATCCCATCCTTTTGAAGGGGTTGGTACAAAGGGACTGGGTCTTCAATTACTGGGTTAATAAAATTGTTTTTGTTGACTAAGGAAGGGGAAGATCATTCTCACACAAATGAACCTCTTACCCACTTGGGAAATTGCCCCCTTTTTTGGTATAAAGGGGCAAGGGAGTTCTGGAAGAGACTAACCTAATCATGGGGATAGCCCCAGCATTTTCTGAGTCAGAGAGAGGGAGCCCCACCCACAGGATGACTCAACTGTCCCTGCCTTGCCCGCAGGCTGGGACCCATTCTATGGTCTGGATGGCTCTATTCCATTATTCACTAATTCAACTAGCACCTGCACCTAGGGCTAGAAACAGGCGGCCAGATAGGCCTGAGGCAGGTGCTCAGTCCCAGACTCTGTAGTGCTTCAACCCTTCCTGCTCCCAACCCCAAACAAGGATAAAGGAGGCATGTCCTAATGACTGCCCTCCACTCAGGCTAAAACCACACAGCACCTTGTTAGAATCTTTTTTATTCAGAAAAAAACAAACAAAAATTTTTTTCCAACCACACACGGGAGGGGTATGGGTAGGGGGAGGTGTCTTCCGCCCAGCCCTGGCCCCCAGCCCATGTGGTTTTGGCAGCAATAAGGGGTATAGGGTAATGGCCCAAAAAATAAAAATGGTATATGTGTGTGTTTGGGAAGGAGAGTGCCAAAGCAGTGGGGAGTGGTAGGGGGAAGGGAAAGACGAGGTCAGTACTGGGAACGCCGCAGGTGGTTGGCCATTTCATAACATTTCTTGTTGATCACACCACCGTGGATACCTTCTTTGCCCATCAGCAGGACTAGCGCTGGAGGAAAGAGAGAGGAGGCTAGGACCCAGGTGTCACAATGCTACCCCCTGCCAGCTGTTGAGCAGCTGTCCAGCCCTGGGGGCTGTAACCCAACCTCATCTCCCAAACCCCACCCCTCCACACACACACAGGCAGGCTAGGCTGTCAGTCACCCTGAAACAATAGGGCTTTTCAAAAAAGAAGAAAAAAAAGGCGGGGTGGGGGGGAGGTCCAAGCTAAAAGACTGGAAGCAGAACACTAAAATTTAGGGGTCAAAGGCTTATAGACCTGACTCCTGTTCAGGCTAGAAATGGATATGGATGAGCCTGCCAACTCCAAATTTTAACAAAACAGTCTGCCTCCTCCCAAAAAGGAGTTTCTCATCTGAAAAGGCTCAAGTAGGAAAAAACTGAAGAGGTAATATAGTCAATTTCTTTATATTTTAAGATGAGGAACTAAGAACTGGAGGGACTATCCAATATCCTAAATACCCAGCAGGCTGGGAGAAGGCTGCTCTGATTCCTTCATACTGGGGAACCACACAGAAGAACCCAAAAGATTCATAGAAGGATGTACATTAGGGATATTGGAGCTACAGATTACAGAAAGATAAGACTCAGAAAACTCACTCTTGGCAGTCATGGCGACAGTGACGTTGAAGGTGGGGGCTCCCCCAGTGCTCTTGGTACGAAGATCCATGCTAAACTCCCCTTCCTGCAGCAGCGTGTCCCGGATCACAGAACATTTCTGGCCCCCGATTGTCAGCCCATTCACGCACAGACTTGCCCGGTCTTTGCCAACCAGGACACCAACTTCAGCTGGCTGGAAGGGGAACCAAGCACTCAAGTTAGTACACCAAGGTTCCCACCTTCTCCAAGGGCATACCTACTTCTCAGGAGAGGAAATGTGTGTGTGTTAAGTGCTTTGTACTCATCTATGAAAGCTGAGAAGCTCTTAGGACTTTCTGGAAGTTAGTGCACAAAAAGATCAGGATCCTCAAACCCAGAGAATGGTAACATGAAGAGATGGCATATTCCTCTGGAGACTTAGCAAACCCAGGAAATAAAGGGCCAAAAGCCAGTGAGGAAAGTGGAGTGGAATGGAGTGGGGAGCCTTTTGGATGCTCAGAACCCTCCTTCAGGAAAAGCAGAAGCTAATAGGGGAAGAGAGGGGGCGGGCAAAGCCGGAGAAGCAACTTTGTCCTTATTTGGTCAAAGGTTCTGAAGGAGTTGTTAGGGGCCCGGACGCCTGGGTCTCCAAGTAACCTAGAGTTTAGGTCCAGGTACCTATGCCCCAAGATGAGGAAGCAGATCCCTGGGGGCTTTCCGGGGAAGTTGGAAAACTTCTAAAAGGGAACCTGGGATGGACCCAGCACGCCAGCTCTCGGGTATAGATACCCCAAGGAACCTTTCCACCCCTCCCCCTTACACCCCAAATCCCCACATCCGGTCCCCTCCCGCCCGGAAATCCCCTCCCCCCCAATTTGAACTTCCGCTCCCCCTCCCCACTTCCGGGCAGTGTGGACCCGGGAGGCAGTGATGGGGACAGCAGGGGTCATTCCTTATACTACCCTAGAACTTCTCACAAAGTTCCCCTGCTGCAGGCCCCGCAGGATGGCGGGAAGGGAGGGCGAGGGGACTTCCGGATTTGGTCTCACAGGAATGCTGAAGTCCACCACGCAGACTTGGGGAGGGGAGTTGGGGACATGAGGCGGCCCAGTCTTTTCCAACCAAGTTGGGAGGGGCAGGGAGCCCACAGAGGACCAGCATGGAACCCCGACCACGCTCCCTCCCGCATAAGGGGGAACAATGGTGGAGGGGGCATGAGTTGGCGGCCGGAAGTGGAGCTCGGGGGTCCAAGGGTCCCACAGTCCCTTCTCAATCACAATCCCCGGTTGGAACTGCAGCGCGTGCCCGCCCCGCCCTGAACGAGGCGGAAGTGCGTAGCACTTAGGGGGCTGCCGAGGGACCCTCACGTGCAGCCGCCATTCGCGCCGCTTCCAGGGCAAGGACCGGGTCTCGGCCTTTCGCAGCCCTTCCCAGACCGCACCCGCCGCCACACAAGTCCCTCCCTCAGAGTCCAAGCTCGGCCAGTACCCGGACCGTGGAGGCCTCGCAGTACCGTGATGTTGGCGAAGGCTTTCCCGGGAACAGCGGCCCAGATGGAGGGCGTGTCCTTATAGCCCACGATGGCCGCGTCCTGACAGGTCCCGTCCGCCATGAGGTTGTTGATGTAGG